TAAAAATGGCAGGTGATAACTAAAGCAGCAAAAGCAGCAAGTACAAGGTACATAACAATACAAACCCCATTTTCACTTGTTCTCCCAGCCCTGTAAATCAGATATTCATTACCCTGTCCAGAGTGAGTAATGCACACCCATGTAAACATGGACAGCTATTTAAAACCCTCATTTTCTCTCCCCAATTCCTTTCTCCTGTCCTGCATTAGATGTGGCAGTTCAGCAGCCTGTTCTCCAGAGTTCACAAGTGGCAGCGTAACGATGTCCCCAGCATGGCAGAACATCTGAAGAATTGTCCTTTCTACCAGGTGGAGCCCAGGACAGAGCCCGTGCTGCTGACAGGAATGTGTGAATCTCGGGAGCACACTCCAAAGACTTTGGTCTCCACTTTCAAGCACAGAGTCTGAACAACTTGCTGCCCCCCTTCAGGGTGCCTGAGATGAAGATTTGGGAATTTAGGTGTAAAGATTGTTGCTTCCAACTCTCCTCCAGACGTACAAAATTTGTTTCTCCCTGGCTGCATTTGAAACATCTGCTTTTTTTTTTTTTTCCTGCATTAATTTGTTAAAACTTCATCCACTGCTTACTAACATCACATGCTTTTTTTTTCTGTTCCTGGTTTAAACAGCATCTTGAGGAAAGCAATAAGGATCTTATAACAGCATTTTCACATCCTTGAAGGTAGGCTGCTGTTCCTGCACCRTGTGCCCAAGGGAAGCAAGAGCAGTTACTGTATTTACTCACTAGGTCTGAAACACCTTCATTTTGGATGCAAAGCCAAGTTCTTGGAGGACAAGTCAATGTTYTTCTGCCTGGCAGACCTAGGGATTGCTAAAGTGCTCTGAGACGTGAGCAAAAGAAAAGGACATCCCAAAATTAATGAATTAATTAGAACTCCAGTGAGAACTCAGGAATTCACTGCACAGCCACAGACCAKCATTTAGAGCCCTGATTAGGCAAGCACACCTAGCTGAGTGCAAGGCTTAAGCTGAGCTCATGGGAGCATTCAAACCAAACCAAACAAACCTGCTCTTTGTCAGAAGGAACCATCTAGTAAACTATTTCAGACACTCAATTGACTTTTTATATTTTAAGGTAATAACTTTCTGTGTTTTATCTAAAAACTCATTAAAGCCATTTAAGAATATTTGAAGTCATTTTTAGAACGCCATACCAACTCAGTTTTGCAGTTGTAAATTGCAAATTCTAATTGTAAGCAACAGCAAACAGGATGTCAAAGGATTACTATTATTAAAGAAAAGTCATTCAGCAACCCATTCACTAACAGTATGGATAGTGTTTACTTCAGGTAAATGGGCTGGAGCAGAAAAGTTATTAGGATTTGGTTTATTTTTTAATAAATTCACTAACTYAAACCAGAACAGGCTTGTTGAGGCAACAGATGAGAGAAAACAGGCATGTTTCCAACAGTTCTGTCTCATTGCACTATTTGAACCCATTTCAGAAATGCTTTGGATGTGGTGGGTGAGATTCCTCTGAAATGGCCATAAATTTATTTGGCAGCTTAGGACAGCTCCCAGCCTCTGCACAGCCACAGGGCACTGAGTCACCCCTTTCTTTTTTAAGYTCACAGCCACAAGTGTGAGCTGGAGACATGAGCTCTGCCTTTCATCTCATCATTTTGTCTSGGGCAGGAGAACCTTGCTGGGAGCCAGGATATTTCCTTGCCCTGGACCAGTGCTGGGCTTTTTTTTTTAWTWTTTTTWAAWTTTTTCTTAATGCTACTCTGTTTTCTGCCCCTAGAAATCCTTTCTGGTAAGCTGGGAAGTCTCATAATGCTTTAGGCATGAAAATAAAATTCTCTGCACAGGTATCCTACAGAAAACACAGGTAGCATCCCAGTTTTATGAGAAGGAAAACAGAAAACACAGGTAGCATCCCAGTTTTATGAAAAGGGAACTGAAGGAAATGATCACAGGGAACCTCAGCTGGGCCAGGAGCAGTTAGAACAGGATGTTTAGATCCTTCATCCTGAGGCTTAGGCCACTGCACAAAAACAAATTGGCCATTCTTGAAAGTTACTTCCAAAACCCCTCCTGTCCTCAAAACATTCCATAGAACATGGGTTGCCCAATATTATCACCTTGTTTTACCCAGCAAAGTTGACAGATGTGAAAACATCCAGCCACAATTCCTAGACTTCCCAGGGCTCTAGAAATTCCTAAGAGACCCAGAATTCCAGGTTTCTACATCAGGGCCTCACTCTGCATGTATCATGTAGCTGATTTTGAAAGATGCTGAGCACCCAACTGGAGCTGCAGTYCATGTCCAAAAATTGGGTGCCAGGRTCTRTCTTGGGTACTRGAAAATGGAGTTACTTAAAAKTTTGGATAATTTGGGGAGGAAGAAAAAAAAGGAGAKTTAAAAAATAAAGTTTCAGAGTAAGTCAGTGTTCAAGGCTGGCATGAGACCATGAAAGATTTCAACCTGTGAACAATGATCTGTGATTTAGCTGCTGTAGGCTGCTGTGGCTGCCCTGAAATTGTGGCTTCTGTGAGGTGTGAATCTGGCTCATTTTACTGCTTCTTCCCTGAGCAGGAGGTGCCGGGATAGGAATCCTGGAATTATGATGGTTGAGGGTACAGATTGGAGTTGGGAATGTTGGAACCCCTTGGGATCAGCCAAGGTGTACATAGAACACCCAGGAGATGGATTGTTTTCTCTCTGGTRCTCCTACAGCACATGCTGGAGAGACACAGGGTGTTAATTCATGAATATAGAGGTGTATTTCTTTAAGGTGTAAGTGTGGTTTAATTACCTTCAGCATATCCAGTGGAAAGTAAAAATCCACAGGTTAACCTGGCCCTGGAAAAGGCAAAGCTGTCCAAGGAAGGGGAGATCACCCTTCCATCACTGCAAACCCACCTGGCCAAGGTCAGCAGGAGCTGCTTCTCMCCTCATCTCACCTTAACCAGGACAGGAGAGCTGTGGGCTGCTGTTTTATTTTTTAAATTATTCTATTTTTTTATTTAATTTATTTTTTATTAATGGGGTCATGCCGAGCTAACTCACTCTTAATGGTCCTGCCCATTAGCAGAGTCAGCAGAAGATTTAGGAGCTGGAAGGAAATGAATTTTTCTGCCCTGTGTGTCTTGGTGAGGACAATGCTGGCTTATTTAAAAGGTAAGAGACTTCAGTTTGGGTTCAGCAAGTCTGGTTTAGCTCCTGGTTTGTTTGTTTGTTAATTTGGCCAATAAAACTGTGGCTACATTTCAACTTGAGGAGTTTGATTTGGAGAACCAGCATTTGATGTTTTGGAAAGCAGATCTATTGTCTGACCTGGGAAAGGGGATCCAATTCCAGCAGAGCATTGAGGTTGCTCTGGATCTTTAGGAATTGGATTTTGTTTTTGCTGTCCACAAAGTCCCATGAAGTGCAAGAGCAGCGCTCCACATGCTCCAGRCTGACACGTTCTGCAGTGTTTTCCTCTGACTGGAAAAGTGGAAGTGAAATGAAGGCGTTTTATGGGAATCAGAAAGGTCAGAGCAGGGCAAAAATATTCATGACAAGAGAAGAGAGGTGATGGGTTTGGATAGAGAGGCTGTCTGATTGTAGGTGTTGTGAGGAAACAGTAAAACCATGACAGACAGGAAAAAGGGCACAGGAATGACAGGAATTGGCAYGTGCTGCCAAAACAAGAGGTTTTCTGGATAAAGGCATCTCCTTGGAAAATGCTCTGGAAAATCCCAATTGATGCTATACAGTAATTTGGGACAGATGATAATTTTTAAGGGGTRAAAGGGCAAGTGACCTATTGACATGTATGCTGAGTCTGGGTTGAAGGAATTAATTTTCTGATGGACTTCCAACTCCCAAAACTGACTGTGCACAGATAAGGTGAAGTTTATCTAAACAGTGCCTGTTATTTTGTGAAAATCTGTAACTCCTTGTTGCTTTCTTAAGAATAAAAATTACTATGGTTTGAAAAAATCCATCAGAATTCAGGTCTTAGCTTGTTTTCTTAGTTTTCATCACATTAAAATATGTTTTGCTTTCAAATCAGACGTGGCAGTTCCTGCACCCTCATATTCATTATGCTCCTGYTCTCTGCTCAGCTCTTCAAGATAATTTTCCTGGTTGAAGACTATTATTTATATTTGGTTTATATTTATTTAATTTAACAAATATTTTTAGGTTTGAGCCCRTCTTCTTTGCACAGCTACTTTTTCCTTCCTGGTTCAGTTATTTACTCACATTAAAATTACATACTTACATTATCTCTTTTCTTAAAAATCAATTTTCCACATTTTCCAAACATTTGAAGGAAAGTTTTTTTTCCTTCCCCTTCTCTTTGTGGCTGTTTAYCCAGGTAGCTACAGAGGAACTTTTGTTTCTTTACTCACCACATTCCAGAGACACTGCAGCAATTTTGGGCATCTTTCACTTACAGTTTCCTTACCACTGCATTCCACACTAAAGAATCTCAAATTCCTTGGGGTTTAATTCCTTTGGAAACAAAACATGCACATGCAGTGCAGGCTTATTCTTATTTCTCTTTCCASTGAATTTATATGTAAGGAAATTTTGATCATGCGCTCCAAATTTATTTTTGATGGCCACCTGCTCCATGACTTAATTGCTATTTACAACGAACGRATCTTTTGTAGGTTCAGTGATGGTTTTGTGAAGGAATTTATCGTGTCATGMTGAGAATTATAGGCCTGAGGCCCATTAGGGTGATGAGAGATGATTCACTGGTCCAGAACTCTGAGGTTTGTTTAGTAGAGTCCTTACTGGGATTGATCTCTTTTAATATTTTAATATTTCCTCTCTCTTTACATATCCAGGTATGAACTTGAGCAGCTCCTGGCTGACAAGAAAAGCCTCTTTTAACCTTCTGAGTTCCACCTAAACAACCTGTTAAATYATACTAATGATGTTCATATTAATGAACTGTTTTTATTTGCTTTTCTACCAGTCCTGAACAGCAGAATTTTCAATTCCAGGGATGGCTGTTCCACTCCCATGTTCCTGGTGCTCACATGATAGCTAATTTAAACTCTTTATTGTTTCCTACCAATGTCTGGAAGGTGGTTCCAAAGAGAACGGAGCCAAAATCTACTCAGTAACAGCAGGTGATGGGACAGGGGACAGTGGCAACAAGGAAAAGCTTGGCAGGTTCAAACTGAGCTTCAGGAATTACTTTTTAGCGGAAGGGTAAAAAAGCAGCACTGGAACAGGTCTCCAGAAAGGTGTCTCCACTCTTGGAGGGTTTCCAGATTTGGAGGACAGAATGCTGGTGATGTGATTGAGGCAGAGAGCTCTGGAATCTCCTCCCAKAGAGAGGAGKGCTCCCTCCTCCTCCTCCTSCTGCTGCCTCTCCCATCACAATGAGAGCATTCTTTCCCTTGCTGTCTGAGCCCTCTACTCACTGACAGCTCCTTATCTGTCATCACAGAGTTATTGAACAGCTTTTCATCTCTCTGAGCAGGAAAACAGATCCACAGCCCTGTCCCAGCAGCTGCAGCACTGAATGGCTCTGTTGAACATGATATCTTCATGGTAAAGCTCTGCTTTGTTGGGATTTGTGGGTGCCCTCTGACAGCAATGACTTGTAGGGCCAGGGGAGCAGAGGAGGATGCATTTTAGACTGGCAGGGCTCACAGGGGAGCTGTG